TTTTTTGGTTTTTTGAGACAGGGTTTCTCTGTGTAGCTTTGCGCCTTTCCTGGAACTCACTTGGTAGCCCAGGCTGGCCTTGAACTCACAAAGATCCGCCTGGCTCTGCCTCCCGAGTGCTGGGATTAAAGGCGTGTGCCACCACCGCCCGGCCAACATTTTCTTATATTGTCAAAGACACAATCACTGTTTGAATATAATTTTCCACCTTTTGATTTCACCACAATTTTTGAATTATTCATCTTTTTGTTGGACACTTAGGTTTTGAAGTATTTATCTTTTTGTTTAACATTTAGTTTGTGTTCAAAATTGCAGTATGAATATTGCTGCAATCAATGATTTTATTTCACTTTTCTTTTTGTTCTTTTGATATAGAGCCTCATGTATTAGAGTCTGGCCTTGAGTTACGAGTTCCACATTCTGGGGATTATAGGCCTGTGTCACCATCCTCAGCTCTGAATATTCTTTTTATTTATTTATTTTTACAATTTTTCCTGTTATAATATTTTATGGTTTTCATACAATTTTTTTTTGTTATACAGAAGGTATTAGTACTTGTAGGACCGTTCTTTTTTAATTAAATGACAATAATACCAACCACAGTTTCCCCTCCCTCCATGCCTCTTAACTCCCCCAACATCTCCCCTCTCCCCCAGATCCACTCCCCTTCCGTTTTCTTGCCAGAAAAGAGCAAGCCTCCAAGAGATAACAGTCAAACAGGACAAAACAAGATACAATAAGACAAAGCAAAAACCCTTTATTGAGGCTGAACATTGCAACCCAATAGGAGGAAAAGAGTCCCAAGAGCAGGCAAAGGAATCAGTTATACACTCACCCCCACTGTTAAGAATCTCACAAAAACACCAAGCTAACAGCTGTAAAACATGCAGAGGAACTGGTGCAGACCCATGCAGACCCTGTGCTTTCTGTTTCAGTCTCTGTGAGTCCATATAAGACCTGCTTGTTTTACATGGTGGGCCATGTTCTCCCGGTCTTCTCCATTCCCTCCGACTCCTACAGTCTTTCATCTCCCTCATCCATAGGGTTCCCATATCTCCGAGGGAGGGACCTGATAGAGACCTCCAATGTAGACTTTACCTCTTCATAATGTCTGGCTTTGGTCTCTGCATCTGCTCCAATCTACTGCTGGAGGAAGCCTCTCTGACTGGACAAGGTACCTATCTATGAGTATAACAGAATATCATTAGGAATCATTTAGTTGACTTTCCACCCCCCAGTCCTGTTTGGTTCACCCTAGGTTAGGTTATCCAATCTGTTTCTTGGCCATCCGGGCAGTATAGGGAGGGCATGGGCTTCCTCTTGTGGCATGAGCCTCAAGTTAAACCAAACATTGGCTGTCCACTCTCACAAGTTCTGGGCCACCATTGGCCCAGCACATTTTGCAGGTAGGACAGATTATAGATGGAGGGTTTTGTGGCTGGGTTGGTATCCAGGTTTTTTCCATAGCCTACAGAGTATCTTCTCACACCAAAGAGACTAGAATGCAGGGTGAATGAAGGCTCCAAGCTTGCACCAACTCGACCTTGTCTACGTTTGATGAGCTATGTGGAAGTTGTCCTTGGTAGTGGGGTCCCACTGCCAGTTTTCAGAGGATGACTTTTTGTCCTAGCATCAGCCTGGATTGTTTAGGGATCTCAGCAGGACCTTCTTGGTCAACAATTCAATGGAATGAAACCCAGTCCCACTAATAAAAGCCTTGCCTGGCAACAAAAGATGGCCAGTTCAGACTCTGTATCTTTTGTTACTAAAAGTCCTTACTAGTACCACCCTTATAGATTCTAGGAAGTTTCCATTGCATTAGGTTTCCACACCAGTCTCCAAATGCCCCCAATTCCAGCTGTCTCTCCCTGTACTCTCTCCCACTACCATTTCCCCTCCCAATACCTGATTCCTCCCACTCCTGTCCCCACCTGCCCAGTCTACCTATCAAATCTACTCTATTTTCCCTTCCCAGGGAGATCTGTGCTTCCATCCTAGGGTCCCTCTCTTTATCTAACCTCTCTAGGTTTCTGGATTATAGCTTGATTATCATTTACTTAATAGCTACTATCCACTTATAAGTGAATACATGCCGTATTTGTCTTTCTGGGTCTGCGTTACCTCACTCATGATGATTTTTTTCTAGTTCTGTGCATTTGTCTGACAATTTCATGATGTCATTTTTTAATAGCTGAGTAACACTCCATTTTGCAAATGTACCACAATATCTATTTATTCTTCAGTTGAGGGATATACAGGTTGTTTCCTTTTTGTGGCTATTATGCATAAAGCCACAATGAACATAGTTGAGCAAGTGTCCTTTTAGTAGGATGAAGTACCCTTTGGGTATATGGCCAAGAGTGGTATAGCTGGGTTTTGAGGTATATTGATTACCAACTTTCTGAGGAACTGCTATATTTATTTCCATAGTGACTGTACAAGTTTGTACTTCTATCAGCAATGGAGGAGTGTTCCCCTTTTTCTACATCTTTGCCCATATGAGCTGTGACTTGCATTATTATCTTAGCCATCCTGACAGGTGTAAGATGGAATCTCAAAGTAGTTTTGATTCGCATTTCCCTGATGACTAAGGATGCTGAACATTTCAAGAGTTTCTCAGTCATTTGAGATTCCTCTTTTCTTAGTTAGGGTTTTCTATTGCTGTGAAAAGACACCATAACCACAGAAACTCCTTTAAGGAAAATATGTAATGGGGCGGCTCACTAACAGTTTCAGAGGTGCAGTTCATTATCATGGCAGGGAGCATGGTGGCATGCAGGCAGATGTCATGTTGGCTACATGACATCTTGGCTTGCAGAGAACAGGAAGTCAACTGAGTCACTGGGCAGTTTTCCAAGCATAGGAAACCTCAAAGCCTGTCTCTACAGTGACACACTTCCTCCAGGAAGGCCATATCCATGCCAACAAAGCCACATCTCCTAATAGTGCCACTCCCTAGGAGGTTATGGGGGTCAATTACATTCAAACGACAACACCTTTATTAATAATTCTCTGTTTATGATGACCGGCCACACTAGTGGAAGCCCATGAACAGTGGACTGGTGGTAGTGGAGGGCCCATGGGACTGAACTAGGCCCTCTGGATACAGAAGATGGTTGTTTGGCTTGAACTGTTTGGGGGGCACCCAAGCAGGGGGATCGGTATCTGTTTCTGGTGCATGAGCAGGCTTTTTGGAATCAAATGTCTGTGGTGTGACACCTTGCACAGCCTTGGTGCAGTGGGAAGGGGCTTGGACCTGCCTAGGCTCAGTTGACTGAGCTCTGCTGACTCCCCATGGGAGACCTTGATTTAGGGGATGTGGGGATGCGGGGTGGCTTTGGAGAGAGGGCTGGGGGATGGAAGGAGGGAAGAGGAAGGAGGAGGATGTGGGTGGTATGTGGAGTGAGCAGAAAATTTCTTAATAAAGAAAAATGAAAAAAAGAACACCACCACCAACAAAAAAGAATTCTCTGTTTATATCTGTACACCATTTTCAAATTGGATTGTTTGATTTTTTTATTACCCAGTTTCTTGAACTCTCTCTATATTTTGAATATTTGACCTCTATTGGCTGTGGAGTTGGCAAAAATATTTTTCTGTTCTGTAGGCTGCTTCTTTGTCCAATTGATAGTGTCCTTTGCCTTACAGAAGCTTTTCAGTTTCACGAGGTCCCATTAATTAATTAATTGTTGGTCTTAGTGCCTGTGCTAATGGTATTCTGTTCAGAAAGTTGTCCCCTGTGCCAATATGTTGAGAATTTTCCCCACTTTCTCTTCTATCAGGTTCAGTGTGTCTGGTTTTATGTTGAGGTCTTTGATCCATTTGGACTTGAGTTTTGTGAAGGGTGATAAATATGAATCTATTTGCGTTTTCCACATGGACACATTTAGTTTGACCAGCATCATTTGTTGAAGATGTCTTTCTTTCTTTCATTGTCTAGTTCTGGATTTTTATAAAAACTCAGGTTGTCCATTGGTTTGTGAATTTATGACTGGGTCTTCAATTCACTTTCATCAATCAGTGTGTCTGTTTTTATGTCAAAATCATGCGGTTTTTATTACTATAGTTCTGTAGTACCACTTGAAATCAGGGATGGTGATACCCCCAGCAGTTCTTTATTGTACAGGATTGTTTTAGCTATCCTTGGTTTTTTTTTTTTCATATAAAGCTGAGAATTGTCATTTAAAGGTCTGTAAAGAATTCTGTTAGAATTTTCATGAGGATTGTGTTGAATCTGTAGATTGTTTTTGATAGGATGACCATTTTTACTATGTTAATCCTACCAATCCATGGGAATAGGAGATCTTACCATCTTTTAATATCTCCTTCAATTTCATTCTTCAAAGACTTGAAGTTTTTATCATACAAGTCTTTTACTTGCTTGATTAGAGACCCCAAGCTATTTTATATTATTTGAGGCTATTGTGAATGTTGTTGTTTCCATGATTTTTTTCCTCAGTCTGTTTGTCATTTGTATATAGGAGGGCC